TCTCAGCCTTCTCTTCTCCAGGCTGAACAAGCCCAGCTCCCTCAGCCTCTCCTCGTAGGAGAGATGCTCCAGTCCCCTCATCATCCTGGTAGCCCTCCGCTGGACTCTCTCCAGTAGCTCCTCATCTTTCTTGAACCGGGGAGCGCAGAACTGGACACAGCACTGCAGATGGGGCCTGACTAGGGCAGAGTAGAGGGGAGGAGAACCTCCCTCGACCTGCTGCCCACACTCCTCCTAAGGCACCCCAGGATGCCATCATCCTTCTCGGCACCCAGGGCAAACTGCTGGCTCATGGTCACCTTGTCACCCACCAGCACTCCCAGTCCCTCTCCGCAGAGCTGCTCTCCAGCAGGTCAGCCCCAGCCTGTACTGGTGCATGAGATTGTTCCTTCTCAGGTGCAGGACCTTTCTGTACTGTTATCTGTGGAGAACACAGAAATCTGGGGCAAGTTTCAGTGGAAAAGTGACAAGCCATCACGAGGCATAGAGTGACTGCTGTAAATTCGCTTGGCACTCCAGTGAGTGACCTAGGACAGGGAGCGTGTCAGGGCAAGCGCAGGCTCTCCTGCCCAAGCTTTCCACAGCCTGGAGCTGAGCCATTCCTCGTCCAGCAGCCATCGATTCGCTTTTGTGCCATGTGAAATAACATGCCTGGCTCCCGCTGTGTTACTGTGGGCTCTGATGCTCATCGACACTGGAGTTAGATTTGGCTTTCCCAAGGCGGCCCATGGAGTCTACACACTAAGCGCTTCCGACGCTGCCCAAGAACTCAGCTCCCTGATCTCCTGCAAGCCCAGGCTACACGCGGGTGCTTGATCAGCCTTTCCTGTTAGCTTCTGCTCCTCTTCCAGAGCGAGCCAGCAAGTTCCTTCTGAGATGAAGCCAAGGCATAGCTCCGAGCACAGCTTGCGCCAAGGACTGTCCCCAGAACAGCTCCTGTCCTACTGTCCTGCAGCACAGGTCCTGTTCAAAGCTTCCCCCCTCTAAGCTACACTGGCCACTTCCAGCTGGTTTTATCTCCTGGGATGCAAGCCTTGGTGGGAAGAGGACAACCTCGACATTGCAGTAGTCTATAAATTGCTCACTCGTTCTGCTGTGGCAGCCAAGCATCGCTGCGGATACACACCGCCGGAGAGCCGAGGCACCCCAAAAGGACTCCGCTGCTGCTCTGTATGCCAGAAACGCCGTGACGGCTCCACCTGCCCTGTCCCACCGTGGCTTCAGGTGTGCCCTGTACCTCCCCCCTCCCATCACACATGGATACAAGCGCTTTCCCCATCAATCACGATGGTTCTGCACTCGTTGGCCAAACCACAAATGGTGTTTTGACGCTCATGCGAAGCCTCCTCTAAAGCATCAGACCAGTATTACAGACTCTGATTTTCATGGCGCGAGGAACCGGGCTGGAGAGGGCCAGCACAGCCCGCGGCGCCCAGCTCAGCCTCGTCGGGCACCGGCCTGGCCGCAGTCTCCTTCTCCACCCCACAGGCGACGGCAGCCCCCTCGCAGCTCGCGCCCGGGCTCTTCTGCTCCCTCCCAGCACTCACATGCCGCGCTCCGCCGTTGCGTGGAGACTCTCCCCAGTTAATCGTCCGGCACTGAATAGCTGAAGCTGCTCTGGAAGCGAAGACTGCTGGATAAAAATACACGGATAAATTTGGTAATAACATGGCATGTTCGCTGGGTACCCCAGTACGCAAACTGGCAGCCTGCTAGCGGGATTAATACTTTATGGAAAGATCTGGGACTGTACAAGCTGCTATTCTCGATCAGGCAACAATATCAGCTCTGTCAAGGAAGAAACAGAAGCCTTTGCATTAGGCAAGAACAAGACAACCCGTTGCCACGGGATGTTTCCTTGCAACCTTGAGCAGCGAAAGGATGGCTTGCTGCCTCCAGCCAGCGGGTCAGGGTCCCACAGAGGCTGATTTGTTTCAAGCTTGGAGGTTTTTTTTTAGTATTCCCTTGTGCCGCGAGTCCTAGAGTGCAAGGTCCAGCATACGAAAAACCCATTCATAAACGACACCGCTTCGACAAGGCGCATTGCCTCCAGGAAGTTTTATTTCCTGAAGAAGCGGCGATGTAATTAGGTGCCTACATTCTCCGTGGTGCTTTCTGTTGGTGCGTTTCATCCCTTTCAAGAAACACTCTGTAAACTTTCCTTCACTATGTGAAATTAATTTAATTGTTTTTAAAAGCTGGTAAAAGAAAGGTTTCCTGACATTTATATATTTTGCTCATTGCTTAGCAGCAGTTCTGGGTTGCTCTGAGGGAGGGGAAATAAGGGAAATACTTACTCTCGACTTGGTTGGGATCCACGATTTACACACTCCCTCACGCTAGAAAGGTTGTTTCTGCGACTACCGTTGTTCTTTTACATGCTATTCCTCTCTTCACAAATTACGACCACGCAGTCATCTGTTGCTACCACTGCTGCTACAGGACATCAGCACTGAAGTCGTGGAGAAGAGCCCAGATTTCACATCTGACCTGCTTGCACGGCCCCAGCAGCACGAGGGGAGGGAGGAACGGCTGCTACGGCACGGAATCGGGACGTACTCTGCTACCGAGGGTAGGAACGAGACGGGACAGGCCGCCTTCCACAGCGGGGCTCGGCTCCGAGCAGCGGTGCTGCTGCGCAGCGGTGGTCCCTGGCCAGCAGAATGGCCCACGGGGAAACGTCCCACCTTCTCTCCAATGCAAAATTCCAGTGCTAAACTCCGGGTTGTGACATCGGCTGCCATGGGGTTCACCGCAAAGCCTGTTCCCCAGTTATACAAGGGTGAAAAATTATCTATCAGCATTTACATTATTTAAAAATTCTCCTAAGACTGTAAACACAACTGAAGTTCATCCAGAAATCTTAAGAAAAATCTACATAACAGAGCTCTGGAGCTCCTAACACTAAGAACTGCCTCAGTGAAAATCTGTTACCTTGGCACAGGAAGACTGTGGGTGGGCAGTGGAGTAACAATTTTCAAGCTCGAAGCAGCCAGGATCTTTTCTAAACCAAAAAATCAGCACCACCACCAACCAGAGCAGGGACCATCCAAGCATCCTCCACACAGGCTTTTAGGAGTGCTCCCCATCCCTTCTTTCTGCATTCGTGGAATTGCTGAAAAATGAATTTCCTGAGGCTTGTGTTCCATGGAATTGCTTTCACATCTTTGGCATTGCTCATTTTCAACATCTTTAAGATATATACGAGCATCTGAGCAAAGCCAGGAGGCCATGCAGACGGCTCCCGTTCCTTCCCAGGTATCTCGGCTGCGCTGAAGACTCACCGTGGCCACTGGCCAATTAATCAGTCAATGCAGGGTTTGGGTTTGATCCCAACACACCCCAGCCAGCTGATTTCTGCGAGCGGTTTCTCTGAGGTCAGTGCAGAAGGGCGTCAGTTCAGGTCTGTTCAGCCTGCCAGGCGACTGCAGAGCACCTACACTGTCCTTGTGCAGATACCAGAATGACTTCTAGAATACTGATTTTTTTTGTTGCTTTTGGAATTTGTGATTAGAGGATTTTTGAGCTTCTGGCTAAACTCTGCTAACGCTGAAATCAGGTAAGGCTTACGGATGCTTGCAGCGGGAAGAGAGGCTGACTAAGACAACACGTGTTTTCAAATCCAGCTCCAGAGGCTAAATCTACAATGGGCATTTCTTCCACTCATTTTATTGAATAAAATGCATTCCCTGTTACACCACTGGATTCAAAAAAGCTTTTCTAATTTTCTTCAGCATTAAAGACATGGCCTACTGCCGTCATTCTGTCACATACAGGACTACCCCATCACCCGGACACAAGAAAGAGGTTCATGGTGCAATTATAAATGTATTTGGGTTTACAAGTGAAGTGACCTGTGAAGGAGCAACTCCACAACCGAGTGAAGAGCAAGCCCAGTCCCAAAATTTAAACAGGAGCAGGCAATTTCAGCCGTCCAGCTGTTCACGTGCATGCTCTGAGAGTCTCCAAAATGCTCCCCCTCCAACTCACCTCCCGTGAAGTTTCTGTCCACGTCGAGCTGACAGTCTCAGAAGACAAATCTTTCAAGAGAGTGACCCTCGGGGCTCTGGGGGCACCAGCAGGTCCACGTCTGGGACTTTTGCTACTCTGAAGCTAAAAATCATGCTTAACAGAAAGGCACTTTGCTGATGGAATCCAAGAGGCGACCATCTTTTGGACAGAAGGTATCAAGCCTTCAAGCCCTTGTTAGGACAGCGTGAAGACTGGCACACGAGGCAGGCTACGCCCCTGCCACTGGTTAGTCTACAGAGCGTCTGGATTTGACACGTTTTCATGCTGCATGAGATACACTCCAGAACTAGCGAGTCTTGCTGATCTAAGCATAATTCTTTGCCAATATAACACTACTGAATTAAATACCGGCAACCATCTGATTCTAACCAAACACATCATATTTTTACACCAGAAACAAGCAAGGAAGTTACATGGGAGAACACATAAAACAGGAAAATTCCAACAAAGTGGTTAGGGAAAACAGTATTTGAGATCAGCAATTATTTTAATTACGCCTATTGAAGATACGCTCCTCCTGGAGAAACTTTTTTTTCTTATTTACTCTTTTCATCTTGAAATGTAGATAGCATTTAATTACATTGATATGCAATGGACAACGAAACATTATTGGATCAAAAATTAAGTTAAACTTTTATCTATTTTAAGTTGCAGAAATGCGTGAATCGCATGGCTAGGATTTGACCCCAGGGGTCCGCAAGCGAACAGGCAGTTGATGCACTGCAATGGTTTCCCACGCGCCGTGTGTGCCTACGCGGCTGTCAGAGCTGACTCAGTTGTCTTCTCATAACCGCAGCGACCCTGCTCCTGCGCTCGTTCAGCGAAGCCGCCCTCCCTCTCGGAGGATGCGGCGG